GCGGGGTTGCAGACCTCGGCGTTGCTCCCGCGCCTCGCTCAGCCAGTGAGCGGGAACCGGTCTGTATGTGGGATCCGAACCCTCGGGCGGGAGCACCGCCGCACTTCCCAAGCGGCGCACTATCCATTGCACCACCGGGCCGGCCCTTCACTATTTCTTTTTATACTTCTGTGTTTATTCTAGTGGGCAAAGCAGCTAGAATGTCAAGAAGCCAATTTAGATTTAATCCTAAATACACCCTTACAGAGTGAGAACAACACAGTTGAATGATTGATCTTGTAAGGGCCAAGGGAAAACTTTCCCCCCACCACCTGAAGGTTCACTAAAAATCACCTGACAAAAGGCAGACTAATAGAAGAAAAGGCATAACAAATTTTAATTTAACATTTACAGCCGAAATCGCAGGAGAGTAGTTGCCCAGTAACCCAGTGGAGTACAGAAATTCATCTACCCTTCTTCATAGGGGAGAGCGGGGATGAGGGGGAGTGTAGGACTAAATGATTTTCAGGGCAAGTGAATGATCCCAAAGAAAATGGCCTGGGACCAAGCTTCTCTGAGCTCTGGGGAGGTGGCATCACAGGTGAAGGGAGGAAAGCAAATCAAGCAGAGGCTGTCTTGTCATGCAGATGAAAGTCTCTCAGGTGATCTTGCAGCTGCCAGCAGAAAGAATAGATAGATGGTAACAGGGGAGGGGGCCTCTGACAGCCTGGCTATTTGTCTTACCCATGCAGAGTTTTCTCTACAGATACAAATCTCCATAAGAAAGGCAGCCTTCTAGCTATCCTTGTTTTTCCAGCCCCTCTGAATTGCCATCTTGAAATATGCCAAAGAAGTATATTTTGGGCTGAAATATTTTGCTTTACTTGGATTTTTATAATGGTGCTTGAGAAGATGGTAGAAGTGATACTAGTATTTGTATTCATGGTGGTAAACATCAGTCACTGGAAAACTTTTTCATGAGGATTGCCACATTCCCTGTCAACGGAGTAAATGAGGGCTATGCGAAGTACTTAAAAAGTTCAAGGAAAGTGGAATTAAAAGATAATATGAGTTCGGATCTCCATACTGGCCAGCTGCCAAAAAAAAAAAAAGTCCTTCCTTGTACATTTTTTTTTTTTTATGAACAAAAACTTCCTTGAACTTTTGAAGTACCCTCATATTTTGCTTATTTGGCTTATTGAAGTCTTAGTTTGATTTTTTTTTTCCCCTGTTAGGGATTTGCAACAATTCTTGCCGAAGCTGTTTCCTCTCTGGATTTGCCCGTGACAGTTATTAATCTGAAAGAATATGACCCAGATGATCATCTCGTAGAAGAGGTGGGTAATCTTATTTTTTCTTCAATCAAAATGCTCGTATTTAGTTAACCTACTGTCTTCTGGGATAAATAGAATCTTCAGAATAAATTTAATTTTCATGTGAAGGGATTTCAGTTGGTTAAGTTTTCAGTGTGAGTCAGAAGCATTGATGTGTGGTGCAGTGCACTGATTCTCACGTGGCCTCCTGCTGGTATGCCTTTCGGGCGCAAAACAGCCATGGATAATATGTAAACAAATGAGTGTGGCTGTGTTCCAATAAAATGTCATTTAAATAAACAGCCCAGATATGGCCTATTGGTTGTAGTTTGCCAGCCCCCTTTAAGTGGATAAATGTCTAGCTGTAACTGTCCATTTCTTTCTCTAATATTTGCACAAATTAGAGTGCAAATGAGTGAGCTTGAATCTGCTCTAAATTATTTGTGAAAAAATATTAGCAAACTTTGATATTTAATTATAAATAAGATACTACTTGCAACTTACCAGAGATTACTTGTGACTTAACCTCATGACTCGGAACTGTTCAGATGCATTCAAGCAGATAAAATACTAGGCTAGCAGGACTGAGGATGTGTTTTGTTTCCTTATGTGGATTATGGTGCTAAGTGTTGAGTTACTTTACGTTTAAAAATTGTATTGCTTTAAATTTTCAGGTAATTTTTTAAGAGATCTTTCTGTGTTTTTTCTAGACTGATTCGGATTTTGTTTCTAATATGACAAATCAGAGATGATAGGAATTTATAGTATATGGAGGCATATTGGCAGGAGAAATGGATGAGTTTTTGCCTCTGCGCAAGGTGTCCTTGCTGTGATTTCTTTCACTTTTGAACATGGGCGATGTTTATGAAAGCACCCTTTGTCTTTAGAGATTATTATGACGTGAATGCCAGCATTTTAAGAAAGGTTTTCTTCATTAAGATAATGTATATCTTGAATATTCTTCTGAAACAATTACTTTCTTGGTTAGGTTACTAGTAAAAATGTCTGTGCCTTCCTGGTTGCTACGTATACTGATGGCCGACCAACTGAGAGTGCGGAGTGGTTCTGCAGATGGCTAGAGGAAGCATCCAGTGATTTTCGATTTGGCAAAACTCACCTGAAGGGTATGAGATATGCGGTATTTGGCCTGGGAAATTCTGCCTATGGAAAACACTTCAACAAGGTAGGTACATGCTGAATTATAGGGATAAATTCTCCTTTAATTAAAAAAACACGTGTATGTGAAAGAATCCATAAATTTTGGTATTAATAATAAATTGTTTGTGTTATGCTTTATAGCTGGAAATTCTTACACATACATATCTAAACTTGCCATGTAGTAAGCTCGTGCAGATTTTTGTTAAATACAATGAATGAATATGTCTCATATTGTTTAGTGTCTTAGTGGCCTGGTTTCACATTGTTGAGTCCAGCCTCCTGTCCCCAGGCAGGACCTTGTGGATGGAAGATCACTGAGTCTTTGTATTCTCTCAGTTGCCTGTTCTGATGTTGAATAACCTTTACTGTCCAAGCAAACTCTTAAAATCGGTGAACTCATTTTCTTTAATTCATTAAGTTTTAAAGGGAAATAGAGGAAAATCATTTATTGTCTTTTATGTAACAAAGCATTACATTTTTTTGTTTGTTTTCCTGAGTCTTTTTTGTAAATGAAATGAACTTGACTCCTTTTCTTTTTCATCCTGTTCTCTGTAGCTTTAAAAAGTAAAACTATGGAGCCTCTTAGTTTCTTAGTGGTTCTAAAAGGTCACCAGAGTTTTGTATGTGTACCTCTCCCTAGAGATGAGCCCAGCCTGCTTGCCTGTCTTTGTTGGATTGCAAATGATGGTGTATCACTTCTCGCAAGGTGATGGAGACACAAAGGATTACTCAAAGCTCATTTCTCCAGAGCAGTGAGAGGCCCAGATGGGGTTAATCCCAGGCAATTCCTTCAAGAGAGAAGAATTCCTAGGAAATAACCCTGAATTAGGTTTTCTCTCAGTTTTTATTGTCCAGGCAAGAAAGTTACAGAAAAGGAACACAGGTGGTTACAAAAAGAATGAGATAATCGTCATGGCAACACTCAGTTCCCCAAGAAACTTAAAGAAACAACTGAAGACGAGATGTGGAACATCCCCTAACTAACAACCTTGAAGCTTTTAGCTCAGTACTTTCCCATCATCAGGTTTAGCTTCACCAAGGACAGCTGTCCTCAGAGCAAGCATTTTTGCTGTTACAATTTTTTTGTCTACAACAGAGACTTTAGTCCTGGGAAAGTTTTCTGTTTTTCCCAAGCTTAGCATTTCTGTATGCAATACTAAAAGGTTAGGCTACACCTTAAACTACAGGGCTGTGCTTGCTAAAACTACCTTTGCTTTATTAATGTTGGTATCCTCCACAATGGTGGAGGTGGGGAGCTTTCTTCAAACTTGTTTTCATTCAGTTATATTATGGTATAGATTTCTCCCCATATTTTCAAAGGAATTGGACTAAGAATGGGAAAATTAAGTATGTAAGTAAATATTTTATTTATGTCTTGCCACTCAGGAAGCCTATTAAGTTTTTGAACTATTACCTGCACTTCCTGGTAACCCCTGTGGTTCAGCTTAATTGCTTCATATCACAATGAAATAAATTTTTGAGTTTATGAAATCATGAGTCTTACAAAACTGGTTACATTTGCCCTTTATTACTAAATGGGTTTTGGTTCCACTGGCTTTATTACATTTTTTGGAACTAATGTATTCTGTTAATACCTATTTTATTCTGACCATGATTTAGAGTGATAGTTTTCAAATTCTTTTTTGGTTATTAACCTTTTATTTAATGAAAGGGTTTATCTGTCCCTTTGTTATAGAAAATTTTGGCAGAAAATGAGAATATATAAAATGGAGCCTTCTGGGTTGAAGCTGGTGCTGGAGGACCTGAGGCCCTGTTGCCAAGCCCTTTTCTCTTCCTCAGCAGCAGCCCAGCACCAGGGGCCCACGAGAACTTAAGGTGTTTGCAGAGCACTCTAATAACCTGGTTTAGAGGATCGTGTTTTAGCTCCTCTATGTCTTTTTCTTGCAGGTTGGCAAAAACGTAGATAAGTGGCTCTGGATGCTCGGTGCTCACCGTGTGGTGACTCGAGGGGAGGGTGACTGCCATGTGGTTAAAAGCAAGCATGGCAGCATCGAAGCTGACTTCAGAGCTTGGAAGGCCAAGTTCATCTTCCGGCTCCAGGCACTTTGTAAAGGAGAGAAAGAGTCCTGTGGCGGCAACTGCAAGAAAGGCAAATGTAAATCTAACCAGCGTGGTTCAGAGGAAATGGAGCCAGGGTCTCCCACCCAAGACGAGCTGCAGCACAGAGACACCGAGGTGTGTGTCTCTTTATTTCTCTCTGCTTTCCTCTCGCGTTTGGAGGTACTGCACCTGACCTCTGTCCCGAGAAACCATTTCATTGGCTCCTGGTTAGAAGGAAGATCAGAAACTCACGTGATGGTTCAGAGACAGCGTGGCTTTAGGAGTTAAGCTGTATTATGCTAGATACTTTCATGTGTCTTTAATCATTTCTTTAATCATTGCACTGTCAGAGTCAGATTTTTACAACATTTTGCAGATTGAGAAATGGAGGGCCAGCCCCATGACTCACTTGGGAGAGTGTGGTGCTGGTAGTGCTGAGACTGCGGGTTCGGATCCTATATAGGAATGGCCAGTGTGCTCACTGGCTGAGCGTGGTGCAGATCACACCGTGCCGAGGGTTACGATCCCCTTACCGGTCAAAAAAAAAAAAAAGAAATGGAGGCTCAGAGAACTTAGATGTGTCCCAGACTGAGCGCATGTCTTATTATTCTCAGCTCTCATTCTCCTCCTGACCTAAATGACCCCGTTAGTCACTCATACTGAAGGCTGCAAGTCATCTAGATCCATCTCTTTTTCCCCTCACATTCTAAGCATGTCTTTCTTCCTTCTTCAAATACCCCAGTTCCTTTGAAGTTCATGTCTTCAGGCTACATCACTTCTGCCCTCTTCCCAGCTGTTATTTTTGGGCTACCTGGTCACTCGCGTCATTCAGGAACAACTTTAAATTCTGACTCATTTTCCTTCTGTCCCCCCTTGTTCCTATCACTAATCTTTGTGGCTGGGACATCCATGGAGATGATTGGTCCACACCCTGAATGAACCAAATGGGCTTCACCCTCCAGCAGCTGTTTTCTTTGCGGACCTTGCTCTCTCCCTTTCGTGGTCACCTCTGAAATTCAAATTCCTGTGACACTTACTCTGACCTCACTCTGAGGCCCCAAACCTCTTTTGATCTCATCCCTTTTCACTGGGTAGTGGAAACTGCTTTCTTTACTTCCCTCCTTGAACCCAGTTTAGATTTTTATAGTCTTTGTAGACATCTGCAATTGCCTTCACTCTCATTCGCTTTTTTAACTCGACCAGCCAAACCCCAAGCCAGGTTGAAACCTACTGCCTGCCTTCCCCATGCCTGCTCCTTACTGCTAGAGCACAGATTCCTGACCACAGGCTCGGGCGTGCACCCAATGCTGCCCACCAGTCTCACTGCATGCCTTGTACCTTTCCTTTCTCACTCTCAAAGATGGCTGTTTCCTGCCCTCCTTCTCAGAGGGGAACTCTCGTATAGTCTCCTTACCCCCTCTACAAATCTTCACCATCTCTCCTTCCCAGATGATCAGGTATCCGGTTCCTGTCAAAGACTCCTGTCTGTCCATGGCCTGGAATCAAGGACCAGGCTCCTTCGTTTATCACATCGCTCTCTCCTGTATCATTAGTCTCTCCCCCGTATCATTAGTCTCTCCCCCTCTACTGGCTTGTCCCCATAAGTATATAAATATGCTCTGGAATCACCTGTGTCTAAACAAACACGAAGAGCAAATAAAAATTTTTCTTTAATTCTACATCCTCCAGCATCTGATCCTTTTTTTGGTTCTTTTCCCAGCCAATTTTTTTGCTTATATTTGCTTATCTTCCCTTCAATTAACTCTTAACATTTTTAAAAACTTTTTTTATTGAGGTAAAATTTATATAACATAAAATTAACCATTTTAAACTATACAATCCTGTGGTATTTAGTACATTCGCAGTGTTGTGCAACCACCACCTATGTTGAATTCCAAAACCTTTTTATCACTTCAGAGAAAACCTCTTACCCATGAAGCAGTCACTCCCCACTTCCCTTCCCCCAGCTTGGCAACCCCCAATTTGCTTTCTATTTCTATGGATTTATATATTCTGGAGATTTTATATAAATGTAATCATATAATGTGTGACCTTTTGTGTCTTGCTTACTTCACTTACAATGTTTTCAAAGTTCATCCATATTGTGGCATGTAGCAGCACTTCATTCCTTTTTATGGCCAAGTAATATTCCAGTGTGTACCACATTTTGTTGATCCATTCATCTACTGATGGACATCCTGGTTGTTTCCACATTTTTCTATGAATAGTGCTAGTATGAACACTTGTTTGAATACCTGTTATCAGTTCTTTTTGGTATATATATACCTAGGAGTGGAATTGCTGGCATGTGGTAATTCTGTTTTACTTTTTGAGGAACTGACAAGTTATTTATCATAGTGGGTGTACCATTTTACATTCCTGCTGGCAGTGTATGACGGTTCCAGTTTCTCCACATTTTCACCAACACTTGTCATTTTCTGTTTTTTAAAAAATTTTTTTATGGCTGTCCTAGTAAGTGTGAAGTTGTGTCTTGTGATTTTGACTTGTGTTTCCTTAATGACTAATTTGGTTGAGCATCTTTTCATGTGTTTATTGCCATTTGTATATTTTCCTTTGAGAAATGTTTATTTATGTACACTGCCCATTTTTTAATTGTGGTGTTTGGATTTTTGTTGTTGAGTAGTAAGCATTCTTTACTATATTCTGGATAGTCACCTTTATCAGATATATAATTTGCAAATATTCCCTCCCATTTTGTAGATTTTCTTTTCACTTTCTTGATTGTGTCCTTTGATGTACAAAATTTTAAAATTTCTATGAAATCCAATATATCTGTTTTTTTGTTGCTCATGCTTTTGTCCTCCCATTTTGTAGATTTTCTTTTCACTTTCTTGATTGTGTCCTTTGATGTACAAAATTTTTAAATTTCTATGAAATCCAATATATCTGTTTTTTTGTTGCTCATGCTTTTGGGGTGGTATATGTGAATTCATTGCCAAATTCAAGGTAATAAAGATTTACCCCTATGTTTTCTTCAAAGAGCATAGTTTTAGCTCTAATGTTTAGGTCTTTGATCCATTTTGAGTTAATTTTTATATATGATGTGAGGCAAGGGTCTAGCTTTATTCTTTTGCATGTGGTATCCAGTTGTTGCAGCAGCATTTGTTGAAAAGACTCTAATTTCTCTGTTGAGGAACTTGGTACCCTTGTCAAAAGTCATTTGTCCTTAGATGTGTTTATTTCTGGGCTCGCTATTATAGTCCGTTGATTTATATGTCTTTCTTTATGCTGGTACTGTTTTGATTACTGTAGCTGTGTAGTAAGATTTGAAATCAGGAACTGTGAGTCTTCCAACTTTATTCTTTTTATTTTTTTTATTTTTATTTTATTTTATTTTTTTCCTTTTTGTCTTTTTTTGTGACCGGCAACGGATCACAACCCTCAGTGTTGCGCCCGTACCGGACCGGGACCGGCAACGGGATCGCAACCCTCGGCGTCGCGCCCATACCTCGCTCAGCCAGTGAGTGGGAACTGGTCTGTATGTGGGATCCGAACCCTTGGTGGGAACGCCGCCGTGCTCCCAAGCGGCGCACTGTAGCAGTGCGCCACCAGGCCGGCCCCAACTTTATTCTTTTTAAACATTGCTTTGGCTATTTGGATCCCCTTGCAATTCTATATGAATTCTGCAAAAAATGTTGGAATTTTGATAGGAATTGCATTGAATCTGCAGGTTGCTTCGAGTAGTATTGTCATGTTAGGAATATTAAATCTTTCTGTTCATGAACATGAGATGTCTTCCATTTATTTAGGTAGTGTGTAATTTCTTTAGCAGTGTTTTGAATTTTTAGTATTTAAGTCTTTCACCTCCTTGGTTAAATTTTTTCCTAGATATTTTATTTAGTTGAATGCTTTTTTTTTTTTTTTTTTGTCTTTTGTCTTTTTTCCGTGTCCGGCAACGGATCGCAACCCTCAGTGTTGCCCCCGCACCGGACCGGGGACCGGCAACGGGACTGCAAGCCTCGGTGTTGCTCCCGCGCCTCGCTCAGCCAGTGAGCGGGAGCCGGTCTGTATGTGGGATCAGAACCCTCGGACGGGAGCGCCGCCGCGCTTCCCAAGCGGCGCACTATCCAGTGCGCCACCGGGCCGGCCCTAGTTGAATGCTTTTTGATTAAGTTCCATAGTAGTCAGAGGAGATACTTAGAATGCTTTCATTCTTTTAACATTTACTGAGACTTGTTTTGTGGCCTAACATATGGTCTGTCCTGAAGAATGATCTGTGTGCACTTGAGAAAAATGTGTAATCTCCTTTTTTTGGGTGAAGTGTTCTGTGTATGTCTGTTAGGTCCAATTGGATTATAATGTTGTCCTGGGCCTTTATTTCCTTATTGATCTTCTGTCTAGTTGTTTTATTATTGACAGTGGGATATTGTGGTTTCCAACTATAATTGTAGAACTGTCTGTTTTTCCCATCAGTTCTGTCAACTTTTGTTTCATATGTTTTGGGCTCTATTGTTAGATATGTAAATGTTTGTAATTGTTACATCATCTTGATGGATTGATCCTTTTATTAATATACAATATTTTTTGTCTCTTGTAACACTTTTTGACTTAGAGTCTGTTTTGTCTGATAGTTACCTCAGTTCTTATTTGATTACTACTTGCACAGAATATATTTTTGCTGTCCTTTCACTTTAAACCTGTTTGTGTCTTTGGATCTAAAGTGAATCTGTAGACGTTTTTTTAAATCCATCTGCCTGTCTCTATCTTTTTTTTGCGCTTTTATGTGACCAACCCCAATGTTTCTACCTTTTAATTGGAGAGTCTAATTCATTTTCATTAAAGTCATTACTGATAAGGAAGCACTTCTGCCATTTTGCTGTTTTCTTTATATCATGCATCTTTTTACTTCTCAGTCTCTCCAATGCTGCCTTCTGTTGTGTTTATTTTTTAATTTTTAATTTTTTTTAGGTTTTATATATTTATTCAGAAGGTAATTCAACAACAGAATAAAGCCCTTTTAACATTATGAAATCCAACGTTTTGAACTCTTTTTCTCAGCAATTCTGTTTATTATAACTTTTATAATCCTGAGGAAATTCTTTTATCTGAAGTTTTCCATGCATTCAAGCATTTTGCATAATGTCTGATGTGATCAGTAATAAATGTTGAAATGA